CAATTACAATAAAAATAATTGTGTTTTAGAATAGCTGACTTCATAAAAAAAGTAAAGGTGAAACATTTTTCTAAATTCACACCATTGTATTGTACCATGGACAATTTTTTCTCACTAAAGGAAGCTATTTTTCATTTAAAAACAACCTACGAGTACTAAATTTCAAGTAAATACGTTTATTGGTTTTAAAGTTATTGTTGTTATTAACTAAAAGAATTTAATTTTTTTTAATTTTAACATCCTGTATCTCGAAAAGTAAATAAGTTTGACCCCTCATTAACTATATCGTTTTGTTCAATTTTTCGAGAAGTATCTACAGTCAAACGTTGTAAGTGTCATTTGGAAACACCCTGTATGTATGAAATATTAGATATTTAATAGAAAATATTAGATACTTACAATTTTGCGACAGACTGAACAGTAGATTTTTTCCATATCCATAGACAGCTCTTTATAAGGTTTAATCCAAGTTGAAGCACTGGTTGTTTTAGGCATTATAAAATCACAATCTTCCTTTTTGTTACGCACAACGAGTGTTTACACTTTGAATATCAAAACAAAAATGATTTACAAATCTGAGCAATTAGAAATGTTTAGGTACCTAATTCAATAAACTGGGAGATTTTGGAAAATCCCTAAATTAGGAACAAAACTATTAGCCGTTTACCTGCTGTTAAGATACAATAAATTGTAGATAGATTTGGGGATTAGGTCATAAAATGCAAATGAGCGAACCCTTAGCGATTATCCAATAACTGAATGCCTCAGTGACCGAGACTTTCTAAGAATGTTGAGGGCTACTTTCTAATAAATTGGTATGTTTAAAATTTTTCAAATACAGTATAAAAATCTGAACTTTTATGCACTTTATGCAAACTTTTATACAAATATGCCAAAATATGAAATATTTGCATAAAATATGCACAATATGCAAAATATGCAATATGCATATTTGCCGAAGTCTACTCATTATATATCAGGCATTAGTAAAATTTCTATCAGGTACCAAAATGTCTTGTAGTGTCAACTATCAAAAAAATTTATGTATATGCAAAATTGTGGTGAGCAACTTGGACAGTCCATAGCAAAGCAGCTATCGGATTGGGTAGATAGCTGCTCAAGAGTTTGCTGTGGAACTCTGAGAACTTCATCATCTTGTTTGTATTTTGTAAAAAATATAGTATTTTGAATTATATTATGTGTACCATTTTTTTGAACACACTGATGATGTTGAAAAGACGCTATATTCAACTAGTATCCTATTTTAATTTTAGCTCTTAAAGCATATTATTCAGCTCTTCGATATTGATACTTTATGGACTTAAAGGTCATAAAATTTGTATGTTTAAAGTAGTAGTCATGTTATAACTGGCTGATTGACACCTAGTCTATGCCAATAAAAACAAAACTTTACCACCCACAATGAAGTGAGCTTAGCGAGACCGCTGAGCTATAGAATAGAAATTTCAGTCAAATTCATTCATTCCCCTATATAGGCACTTATATCAAATAATAAAATATCTCTCATCCATTATTATTCCCATTGGTTTTCATGCTTATATCAATTGAGTTATTACTCGAGCTATTATCTGTTAGTGATGGGCTTAAAAATAATACATATTGTATATCATTTTGTATCTAAACCTTTACCTTTATTTAATTTTATATTCTTTATTATTAATATATTATAAAAGCTCATAAAACCTTTCTTTCATTTTTTATTCTCTATTTTTTTATTTGGTTGTTTGCGCTTATCCTTTTCAAATAATCAGTCTACTTGAAGAACTACCTCAGTCGTCAGGGACAAAAATGCCACTGAACCTCTAAAAATCATACGAACAAGCTAAATTTTGTCAAAAATCTCAATTTTAGGACTCCTAAAAAGATACAAAAAAGTTTACCGTTTTTCTCCCGTTTTTTTTCTTTTAAAACCCCCGATGTAGAGGGAGGAAAACGGAAAAAATGAATTTAACAAGTGTTTGTACACCATAAAAAAATGTTTTAAATAGAAATGTAGCTAAGATAATTTTAAACAAGAACGTTGATTAGTATTTTGTGTGGAGAATGAACGGTTCCCCTAGAAACAAAGATTGGAGCGATCGGCGATTTTGCTCAATCAATGCTCAATAAAATTTGTATCAACTCGAGGATAAAAATACAATATCTTCTGATCCGACTATCCTAACGACAAATATCGTTAGGTATATCGTATCGTATCTGTTTCTTTTTTATTACACCTTTAAGTTCATCAAAAGAACTTAACTTTGCTATAAATTACACCCCAAACCATCTTCTTGGAGGCATTTCCTGTGACGTGTGATCTTTTGTAATGTAAAAGTTTAAATTCTGCGTTTTTAGTCATATTTCAAGTATCTCATATCTATTGCCAAAATCAAAATCGAATTTTCATGTTATAGGTTTTGAAGAAGGGTCTCCAACAATGGAAATGTCACTGCGACCGACCAATAAAAGTAATGCATTTTATTGTTCTAACGATAATCGTAAAAAATGGCAAAAATCGCGCAAAGTTTATTTATTTAGAAACAACTTTATAGAAACTGACTTCACTTGCGGCAAAATACGAAAATTGCATACTAAAGCTGCACTCTTCGCCTTTAAAAACGCATTTTGATTTTTCTTGATAGGACACTCTGATAAAAAAATATCGATTTTTTACCGTCGAGGTGATAAAAATTTTATTTAACAATAATTTTGCGCGCGGAACTGACATTTAAAATCGCCAGTCGCTTTAAGCTTTGTTTCTGAGAGAACAGTTTATTCTATGTAAAAAGGGCTAATAAACCTTTCTGTTTAAAATTATCTCAGCTATATTTTTTATTTGAAACATTTTTTTGTACGGCATACAGATTCTTGGTAAATCGTTTTTTTTTGCCTTTTTACCCTTCGGGGGGTTTTAGTGGAAAGCCTGGTAGTTAAAGTAGTAAACTTTCTTGCAATTTATTTGTTGTTCCAAAATTGATATTCTCGGAAAAAATCAGCTTGTTCGTATAATTTTTAGGGATGAAAACTCTGACGACTTGGCTTAGTTAAAAATACTGAATTTATAAGAAGTATTTAAAAAAATATTTTTTTTTATTTCGAGAATATGTGTCTCGACAGCTAATGGTCATTGACACAGGTACAATTTACGTTCATGTTTACATGGATAATACTTTACACTTTATATTGAGTACAAGTTAGTTACAATACATTTTTTATACATAATACATTTTGATTTAAATTACATTGTATAAGTTTGTGTTTTTTTAAGAAGTTTAATACATTTTCATAGTTGCTGCTGTTTGAGATAAGTATGTCTTTTAGTTTGTTACCAAGATTGAATTTTCTTCTGGGCGCTAGGTAGTGTTGACGGTCAAGGAATACGTGTGTTACGGAAATCGTGGTGTTGCAATATAAAATCTGAATGATATATTTGTCCTTTCTTTTAATTGATCGGAGCTGGTGTAGAAAATGTTTGGTTGTAGAACGCTTAACTTAGAATTGCTTCTTTTCCAATGATCATTCCAAAGGTCCATTATTTTATGTTTGAGTGTTCTGTTTAGATCTGATGATATTTGAATGTCTGTTGTTATGTTAAGAGAACATAACAACAGACATTCAAATTCATTAAGCTTGTTTTGCTGCTTGATCGGCTTTTTCGTTACCTGGAATACCAACGTGTGATGAGACCCACAATATTGTTACTGTAATTTCATTAGTTTGAAGACAATTATATATACTCTGGATTTCTTGAACTCTTGGGTGAAGAGAATATACGTTTCTTATGGACTACATGGATAGTCCGTACAGATTGCTATAGTTTAGTTTTATCATCGTTAAGTGGAGATTTCGCCGCTTGTAGTATTCCATATAGTTCAGCAGTATAAATGCTGCAGTTGCTGGAGAGTCGAAATAAGTTGACGGTAGTTATAGTCGTTGTAACAGCAAAGCCAACACCTTCTTCAGTCTTAGATGCGTCTGAATAAAGGATCTTATCTAAGTTGCATTGATTTAGTATTTCATAGAATCTTTGATAATGGAAGGTGATATTCCATTCTTATTATATTTGGATAATTTGATATTGAAATTTGGAAGTTTACATATCCATGGAGGAGTTTTAGGGACCGTGAAAGGGCTGGTCGACAACAGATTGATATCTACATAGGGAATTAACATCTGTATAGTGGACGGTACCATTCTAGAATTATTAGTAACTGGTAATTGTCTATTACAGATGAGGTTTCTTATTGGATTTGTGGGATTTGCTGAAACTATAGCGAAATAGAGCAGTAGAAATTGTTTCAAAACATTCTACACGAATGCTTTCCACCGGACCGGATCGGAATGCTCCTCAACAGAATCGAAGTGAAGTATTTTGTGAAATACACATACAATTCACATTTAGTGAACGTAGTAGTGATTTACGTGATGAAAAGTAGAGAACACTACCATAGTCAAGTTTGGAGCGAATAAGAGCTCGATATATTTTTAATAGTATTTCCTTCTTGGCTCCCCAACTATAATGAGCTAGTGATTTAAGGAAATTCATTCTTTGAACTCAACTGAACCCTTAAGTTCTCGAATGTGTGGTCTCCAGGAAACTTTTTTATCAAAAATAATGCCGAGAAGCTTTATTTGGTCTACTACTTGAAGAAAATTTCCAATCAGAGTAATGGTTGAAGATTGCGTGTTTTGTCTTCTGGTAAAATGAATAACTTTGGACTTAGATGGGGAGAAGATAAGGCCGGATTGAACTGATTGAGATGATAAGGCCGAAGTATTGTGCTGGATGTGACCTTTCTATAACAGAATAATATTATGTTGTCAGTATATAAAAAAATATATTAAAACTTAAAATAATATTAAATTAGTGAATTTATCTTTATATTAGAAAAATATTTTCATAAATGTTATAAAAATAGTCAACATATTTTGTGTCTTTATAGATTTTTTAATATTTGGTTAAGACTATTAATAATATTATAATATATTGTTTTTAGGTTGCTGAAAATGCAACAAAGATATACAAAGGAACCAATCCGGAAGTGGACTCTTATTCAGCGTTCTGGGATAATTCTAAACTCACAGATACAAAATTAGCGGCACAACTCAAAATCAGAAACATAACCGATGTATACGTTTGCGGCGTGGCATATGATGTATGTGTAGGTACGTCAATCATTCATCATCGTTATTATCAATATAACTGGTAAACATCGACGTTAACCGTATGTAACACTAATCTTATCTTTATTACGGTATACTTAACATTGGAACTTTTATGTTTGTCTCAGTAGAACATGTCAAAATTAACCCATAAAATAAAGTAGAATATATTAGCTATAAAAGATTTCTATGTATTGAATAATAATCTCACATAAACACGCCAAAACATGACAATAAACATAAAAAATTAAACAAATGTTTCGCAAGAGGATATAACAATAAAATAATTAACAGTGTCACTACAACATAAAAAAGTTGAAGAAAAAAAAATTAAAATCATAGTAACGTATTATACAGTGTGTTCCAACGAAAATTAGACCCTTCTCCCCAAAAACTCAGAAACCAAGAGTCTCTTCAAAATTTTAAAAAATACTTTAATTTGTATTGGAAGGGGGACGATTTTTTTTGCAAAATTCATGCCCTCAAATGTAACCCCCTACTGCCCAGCACCAAACCACCGTTTTTTTTAATAGCAAGTGTGGTCGAGTGACATATTATTTGAAAGGTATTTATTTTTTTCTCTATACGACACTATTTTTTTTTTATTTTCGAAATAACTTTGAAGATAATTTTGGATTTAACTAATTTATTGGTTATAATAATAACAAAAAAACGTAAAATTTCATCAAATTAACCAATTAAATGTTCGAAATGACCTCCTGTGACCTCCATACAATAATACAGTATATTTTCAAAACCTCTTCGTACATTTGCAAATACCTCCGGTGTCAATAATCGGCATTCTGTCACAATTCTTTGTCGCAACTCAGCAAGATCTGCAGGCGAAGTGGCGTATACTTTTGATTTTAGGTATTCCCACAAAAAAATCCAAAGGCGAAAGATTCGGTGATCTGGCCAGACACTCTATTAGATCCCTTCTGCCAACCCATCGCCAAACGTTTATTCAAAATTGTTTTACGCGTATATTATAATGTGGGGGTGCCACGTCCTGTTGGAAAGTCAGTTTCTTTCAAGAAATATTGGTCCAATAACATGATTCGTTGAATTACCAACCCATACATTTAATTTCTGAGATGTTTGTGCATGTGTCTCCTTGAATAAATGAGGATTACTGTTACTCCAATAACGACAACTATGTTTATTTATTTCACCATTTAGTATATAAGTTTCTGTCAGGCCATGGAGTTGGTGGTGTCTATATTGTAAAATGGCGTACACCCTATACTCCATGCTATGGCATGCTGGACGAGCCATACAGTCTGTAGTCAACACCCCGACGTATGAGCGGAAATACAAGGTGTATCAATACTCATACGCTTATGAAACGCACCTGGCGGATCATAAGGGCCTTCACATTTTACTCTTTTTCAACTTGTCTTGAGTAAAATGTCTTTCCTATCAGCCTCTCTTGGCTAACTCTTGTTTCTTCCGACCCCGAATGGCGATTAGGTTTCCGAAGGCAGACGGGTCACTATATTTCTTTCTACTACACACTCTTCACTCACCAACCCGCATGGCAAGCGTGGTGATTTATTTGCCATATCCCCTCAAATAATGTCAAGACTTAAAACTTCCTTACCCCAGGTGAGTAGGATGAATCCAGAATCTCACACTGATTTATCAGTCTGTCCCAAGGGGGGGACAAAACCTTGACTCATAAATTACTTAAGATGAATTTCGCAACGTACAATGCTCGAACGCTACTGTCAGAAGCCAAGATCACTGCTAACACCAAACTTAAAATGGAAGAAAGAAGAGAAATGCTAAAAGATAAGAGTATAGAACAACAAAGCATAAATAAAATCAACAAAGAGGGCTCAAAAGCAATTAGAAAGGATATAAGGGCATATAAAAATGAGAAAATCTCGCAGACAATCGAGCACAACAAGAGCATGAAGATATTAAGAAGGAAATTGACGAACAGCAGAAAAGAAATCATCAGACTTAAGGGAAAGAATGGCAAACTAACGTCCAACAGAGACGAAATGCTAGAGATAGTAGAAGACTTCTATAAAACACTATACACAAATAAATTGGACTTAAACCCGACAGAATATACAGAACAAAAAATTATAAATCAAGGTTCAGAAGATATTCCCGACATATCAACGGCTGAAATTTACCATGCTCTAAAGAAAATGAAAAAAACAAAGCACCAGGAGAAGATGGAGTAGTGACGGATGCGCTAAAAATCGGAGGCTCTGCTCTCATCAGGACAATCAAGCAGCTCTTCAATATATGCTTAGAAAACCAAGCAATACCAGCTGAATGGAATAATTCTATAACGCTCCTCATGCATAAGAAAGGAGATCAAACAGACCTCGAAAACTATAGGCCAATCAGTCTTCTAAGTCACCTGTATAAATTATTTGCTCGAATTATCACTGCCAGAATTGAGAACAAACTAGAAACATGCCAACCAAGAGAACAGGCAGGTTTCCGCCCTGGGTATGGTACAAATGACCATCTAACTTGTCTAAAGGCCCTAATTGAAAAAACTATAGAGTACAACCGGCCACTAGTTCTAATATTTGTTGACTATAAAAGCCTTTGACACTATCGAGATGGTAGCTATCTTAAGAGCTTTGGGAGATTGTAGAATCGACTACCGATATACCAGCATTATTCAACATATATATGCAAATGTCACAACAGCAATAAACCTCCACATCCCTACTCAAAAAATAAAACTAAAAAGGGGAGTTAGACAAGGAGACAAATTGTCACCAAAACTATTCAATGCCGTAATGCAGCATGCATTCCAGATGTTAGAATGGGAAAACAGAGGTTTGAGTGTCGATGGCGAAAGGCTGAACCACCTACGATTTGCAGATGACATAATTCTAATAACCGACGACTTAAAGGAGGCCAACGAAATGCTACAAGATTTACAACGAGTCTCCCAAAAAGTAGGGCTGGAAATAAACTTTGGTAAAACTAAAATGATGACCAACTTAGTACCTAGTGGACCATTGAAACTAGAAAACTGGCATATTGAAACGGTTGACAAATACATATATCTGGGCCACGAAATACAAATAAGTAGAGACAACCAAACATGCGAATTATCTAGAAGAATAGCTTTAGGATGGGCAGCATATGGCAAGCTAAAAGACGTGTTTAAGGAAAACATCCCAATAAAGCTAAAGAGAAAAGCATTTAACCAGTGCGTACTTCCGGTGCTCACTTATGGAGCTGAAACACTGACATTGACTAAAGCATCAATAAAAAAGTTACAAATAGCACAACGAAAAATGGAAAGATCTATGCTTGGCGTAACTTTGAGAGACCGAATAAGAAATGATGAGATACGGCGAAGAACTGGAGTGGAAGACGTCATAAAACGGATTACGAAGTTGAAGTGGAAATGGTCAGGACACGTCGCAAGACAGAGAGACAACAGATGGACAAAGAAGATTTTAGAGTGGCGGCCAAGGGCAGACAAGCGAAATCGTGGAAGACCACCTACCAGATGGACGGACGACATTAAAAGAATAGTGACAAACTGGATCGCAGCTGCACAGGACAGAGAAGAGTGGAGACATCTTGAGGAGGCCTATGTTCGACAGTGGACAAATTTGGCTGTGTGATGATGATGATGATGATTATTGATGATTGATGATGATTATTGATGATGTCACCTATTGGTGACATGTTTTTTTCTGGGTGGTTCGTATTAAAGATCCTTGCGGTAACCTTGTATATAAGTACACTCGTCGGAAAAACACGTATTGTACAATCGATGTTGGTTGTTATTTATGATTTCACTAAATTCTTCACAAAATTGAAGCCGAAGATCAGGATCATCTTCGTTTAATCGATTAAGTAATCATACTTTATAAGGGTGAAATTTATTGGATTTTATACTTAGATAAACACTAGATGCTGATACACCAGATGCACGAGATAGTTGTCTAATAGACTGTAGATTACCCAATACCGCCACTTTTTTCAACTGTTTTATTTCGCACCCGACGGTCTACTTCGTGCTTTGTGTTGTTAACATCACCTGTAGCTTCAAACTTATTAGTTAAATGTTTATCCTATTGGTGACATGTTTTTTTCTGGGTGGTTCGAATTAAAGATCCTTGCGGTAACCTTAGCACACTGATTATTTTCCTAGTATGGCTTGACTAATTCTATTCTTTCTTCAGTATAATATTCCATGTTTGTAAGCCTTCACAATAATGTCTCTGATTAGTCAGTCGTTGACAAATCTTAAATTGACAAATCAAAGATAATCTGGTAAACACTAAAAAGATAATTAGTATTTATTATATTTAAAAAAAATTCATATGCTAAAATGATATGTTTACAAAACGAAAAAAAAATATATATATAGGTATATCGTCAACACAGTGACGTGTTGATATCGATTTACAGGTTGATTGAATTATTGTATTGAAGGTCCCTAAGAACATTTAAGTAGTTCATTTAGTGAAATTTTATATTTTTCTTGTTATTACTGATGTTCAACCAATAAATTAGTTAAATTCAAAATAACCTTTAAAGTTATTAGGTACATTAAAAAAAGTGTCGTTTAGAGAAAAAGATTATCCTTGTGAGGATACTACTATAAAATTAACAATTAACAGAATTACTTAACATTTGACTTTACACATTTGACTTAGTACAATTAAACCTAGAGCTTACACCTAATACTATTACAGGAATTAACCTCACCAGTCTTCCGGGTTGAACTGCGGTGATTATCATTGCGCCGAGCTTTCGACATCATCTCTGATGTCTTCTTCAGGGCCTCCGTGGTCTTAGTCTCCCGAGTCCCAAGACACTACTACAGTGATCACTTATAAAAGCATTACTGGTGCTGGAATAGAGGACGAGTCATTTATACCGTCGATGGTGACGTGGTTTGGGTGGAGGTTGCCGTGGGGGCTAGCGTGGGGATTGGCGCGAACATTTTCGACAGTCCGATTTTGGTTGACGGGTGGGACAGATGGTATTTTCTTTATGAGAAGTCT